CATGATGGCCCTGAGGTCGCTCACCTGTATATAGGGCCCCGGAGCGGGGCCAGTTTAAACCCCAGGGCTTTTATTTGAACAAACTTGGAAGACACTCATTAGAAGATGTTTCACAATGTTAAGTTTTTATTTCACAATGTTAAGTTTTTACTACACACATATAATGAAAAACAATGATCTATCCTCCCCCCTCCCCTGGCAGGGCCAATTTTCACCTGAGGGCTTTTATTAGACATCCATAAGAAGATATTTCATACTAATCATCTAAGCTCTAGCTCATTGGGTTTTTTAAAAGAAGATTTTTAAGTTTTTACTATACACATATAGTTAAAAACAATGACACCCCTGGGGCGGGGCCAGTTTTGACCCCAGGGCTTTTATTCGAACAAACTTTGTAGACACTTACTAGAAGATGTTTCATGCTTAATATCTAAACTTTAGCTATTTGGGTTTTTTCAAAGAAGATTTTTTAAAATTTTTACTATATGCAAATAGGGAAAATCAATGACCCCCCCCCCCAGGGCGGGGCCAATTTGACCCAAAGGCTTTTATTTGAACAAACTTTGTAGACACTCACTAGAAGATGTTTCATGCTAAATATCTAAACTCTAGCTATTTGGGTTTTTTCAAAGAAGCTTTTTAAGTTTTGCTATACACATATAAGGAAAATCAATGATCCCCTGGAGCAGGGCCAATTTTGACCCAAGGGCTTTTATTTGAACAAACTTGGTAGACACTCATTAGAACATGTTTCATGCTGAATATCTTAGCTCTAGCTCTTTGGGTTCTTTAAAAGAAGATTTTTTAAGTTTTTACTATATGCATATAGGGAAAATCAATGACCCCCCGGGGTGGGGCCAATTTTAACCACAGGGCTTTCATTTGAACAAACTTGGTAGACACCCTTTAGAAAATGTTTCATGCTAAATATCTTAGCTCTAGCTCTTTGGGTTCTTTAAAAGAAGATTTTTTCAGTTTTTACTATATACATATAGGGAAAAACAATGACACCCCCCCCTTCCGGGCGGGCCAATTTTGACCCCAGGGATTTAATTTGAATAAACTTGGTAGACACTCACTAGAAGATGTTTCATGCCAAATATCTAAGCTCTAGCTCTTAGGATTTTTTAAAAGAAGATATTTAAAGTTTTTTCTTTCGGTTGCCATGGCAACCAGAGTTCTGCATGGAATTAAATTCTTTGAACAATTTTTAAAGGTGACCACCAAAGGAACATTCCTGTGAAGTTTGGATGAAATTGGCTTAGTGGTTTATGAGGAGATGTCATTTAAAGTAAAAGTTTACGGACGGACGCCGGACGAAAAGCGATCACAAAAGCTCACCCTGTCACTTTGTGACAGGTGAGCTAAAAACCCTTGTAACTCTATAATCTTCATGAAAACTAATAAAAATATTTTACATATTGGTGCAATAATAATATTTTGCATCATATATCAATAAATTATGTATAAATAAATTTGACAATTTACGTAAATCAGGTGATTATATTGATTTTTCATATTGTTTCAATTATATTATATAGAATACTGACCCCCAAATTGACTGCCACTTTAAGTAAGGGAGGTAAACATTGTAAAAATCAGGAACCATCTATATAATATAATATTAATTATTACCATACAAAAATTGTAGACTGGACTGGCCATTCCTATTGTTTGACCAGATTTAACACTGATCATTGAAAGACCTGGTGTTGTTAACATTCAAGAGTTATAGGGGTCATAATCAATAGCACCCTCATTGCTGTGACTTTAGATTCATTCCTGTGAGAAAGCTATCTAACTACCATATAGAAATGTGGTAGAATCATGCATGTTCTACTCTGATGCTCATGTTTGCGCTTGAAAAACTGCACAATAAAGCACTAGAAGGCTTCCTTCACAACTAAAACTTAAAAGATACCATATGACCTTTTACTACAGTGGTTGTTTGACTTAAAACCCAACAGATATCAAGAGTTTAAGTATATCTATATATACTTTGTAAGTTATAGCTACATTATGCCCATCATAGAGTCAATGTTGAGAGAACAGAACTGTCTGGTAAAAGTCAAAATAGGTTTTACATTTTATCGTATTTTTTTCCATATTCGCATTCTGCTTTTAATGAATATTCAAATAAACCATGTAGCAGTAGCACATGAAAAATTCTATAAATATCTTTCAGAATGTATGGATTATGCTCAGCTGATCAAAAGAGTGGGACAGTCATTTTTCTATTGCAGGCAGTTTTTATATTTTATCTTAAACACTTCTAATTATCAATTATTGGTCAATCTCCATTAATATAATCAATCTTTTGAGATATATATATATCTCATTCAACAGAAAAATGAGTATAATGTCACTTTTAAGATTTTTGGGAAATCTACAAGATTTCAATTGAGAAAAGGCCTCTGATACATTATGTAAAAGAGTTCTAGAAATATCAAATTATATAATATAGGGAAGATGGATAAACTTAACAGACATTAAAGAGACTTTAAGGGACGTTAAGAAATTTTGTTGTTTATTTATAATAATTATAATGAATTTTCATTACTTTATATTCTATATTATGATGACAAAAGCTAGACAAAATATCTAAAATAAATAAAACTGCATCATCCAATTTTTTTCCCCTTAAGAAAGTTTAAGGCCAAATTAACCAATTAAGGGGCAAGGCTGACCCATGGTTTATGGGTAGGACGACAATGTTTACAAATTGACTAGTGCTACCTTAATTAAACACAAAGAGATTTTAGGTTTTTTTACTGTCAAACCATTAAGCCTAATTTTGACTTATCATTTTTATACAGGGAAAATGTTAAAGGGACTCCACTAAGGTTTAAAAGCCTAAAACATAACATTTGAATTTCTTACATGAATGAGCTGGGGAACTTTTAACAGAAATATTTGCAAGATAGGTAAGAAATATACTTTGAAATAAATTGAAAATCGTATTTTTATGCTTTTCTAGGTCCATTTGAGTGAAAAGCGTTTAAACGCTTTTCATTTTGGGTCATTATTTTACAATTTGAATAATTATTCTGGAAAAAACAAAGTGTGCGAATGATTTGAAATTTTGCACAACGATTAGTGGTCTTAACCTACATCAAACGGTACATTTATCTGGAAAAATATTTTCAGTCCCATCATGTCAAAAAAAACCTCAGTGGAGTCCCTTTAAAATCAGAAAATATCTTTAAAAAATCATATTTTGATACCATTAGCAATCAAATCATTCAATAGTAGCTCTCTAAATCAAATGAATTTCTGTGGTTTATTTAAAACTTGTTTACCATTCATTTGTGGGACATATTATGATGTCACTGTGAATAAATCAATTCAGTCACAGTGATAACTTTTAATAAAATAAATATGACCAATTTAGCCTTCTCTGATTTTTTGAGACTGGCAAATAGTTCAGTCAATTTAAAGATATATATTCAAATAACTGCTTAAGCAAATGACAGGCAGTTTAGTGAGTAGTGTTTGCATTCATGCATGTCATGCCTCAGTTAGTAGAATAAAAAGCTGATCAATGAGAAAGAAATTGGAATTATTTGTCTTCAGTTCTTAATTGACCAATGAAATATTGGGAATTTATTAAAAACATATACCTGTCAGGTAATGTTACTTGTTTCTTCCTAACATTGTTTGCTGTTACTCCACAAAACTTGCATAAAAATGCAGATCATGGTTAGCCTTGGCAAAAGACATAATGATTGTCTATCCAAAAATTACCTTGATGTATTCTACAAAGATTAATTAGTTGGACTAGACTGGTGCATAACCTCAACCCTTACCATGCAATGCCCATTTCCCCTTTTTCTTTTCTCAGTGTGTAACCAACTTATCTGTTGTATTGGACCCTACTATCAACTGCTGGCTGGGGCTAATGCAGTGTTCGAAATTAGCAGTAGTCCTATAGCCCCTGACTACTAAATTTCTCCTCAGGCTACCATCTTTTCACAGTAACAAGCCCGACCAGGCTACTGTATTTTCAGAGGCAATATAAACAACTGTTTTGAACAAATGAATCGTGCTTGTGAAATGTCTTTTGGGCTAGTGAATATTCCAATCTGGTAGTCCGACCAGCCTAGTGGATTCAAATCCTAATTTCTTACACTGCTAATGTCACTTGTGATTGGCCATTATTATTATATATGGGCTGAAGCCCACCTGGTCACGAGTGTATGTGTGACCAGGCTCCAAGTGACATTTGTGCATATACTTACACAGTTACAGTTACACAAGTAGTTTTAAATAATGACCAATTATCACCTGTATTACCTGTCTGTCAGAAGCTGGATGAAAATTTGCTGCAACCCATGCCTCTGCAAATGTTTCTACAGCGGAATGAAAGTCCATTTTGTCATCTTATTGTCAATTTTTAGAACTGCACATGGCCAAGCTCGAGTTTGAAACAAAATATTTGCTGCTGAAGCTGCTGCGATGGACTTTGCCGCCTGTCTTGCTGGAATATCTCGAAGTAAAGACAACTACGGAATGATGTGTACCTATGAAACACTACTTAAGTGTTCAGTCTTAACTCATGGAAACAAGTTTTATTCCCTTGTCCAGGGATTCACCAGAATACAACGCTTCTCTCAACATGGCTAAAATATAACATTCATCTTGAAATAGGGACCTTTCAACATATTAATAAGGAATCATACGCGTGCACTACTTTCTTGAGAACAATTTCTAACAAAATTTCAATTTTATTTCTCTGCTGTTCACGATAATGAATATCATCAAACAATAAACAATTATCGAAAAAATAGCTTCATCATTTGTTCATTCGTAAATAATTATTTTTTTTACATGCAACGGCGTATTAATATTCTAAACCGGAAGCGCAAAATCCTCTTTTGGATTTCCCAAATCTCTAAATAAATAATAAAAAAATAAAAAGATATATTCTAGAATATATTATCAATAACCATATCATTTCTAAAATTATGTAATAATTTATATCAAATATTGACTTTTATTTCCAATTTATGATAATAAGCTCCATATTTTACTTTACGTTAGAGACAATACACAACAACAAAAATGGCTGTCAGGCAAATTTTTGTTACGTTGGCATTAATGTCAATTGTTTCTTGTGCAAAATATGAAGAAAAAGCAAAGGTAATTATGCTTAAGATCAACCAGTTATGCTCATCTATAGTTCCAAATAAAATCGAGTAATTCTAAGTATGCCATCTCAAGTAACCTTAGCATTTATCTTAGAATCGTAGTGGGTGGGGTAAAATTGACATGTTGTCAAAGCTGCAGATGCAACAAAATTCATTGTTGTGTATGCTTGACAGAAAAAGTAATGGGTTGAATAGATATTGTTTAAGGTTTTGAATTTAAAATGATACTTTTCATGTTTAATTATTCTGTATTTAGCTTACAGAATATGTATTGTTGTCAGATTTTGCACATTTGTAGGAAGCAAGCTTTTGTATAGAAATCAACAGACACAATCTCGAGTCCATTACTGAAACCAACTAGTACTGTACTTCCCAAGGAAACAACAACGTGCCCCTTTGAGTTTTGAAATGGGTTTTGTTCAGAACTGTTCACTAGGGCAGAGACATAGATATTATTTATGTCTCTGACTAGGGGAGACACTTGAGTTGTGGCACTCTCCAAACGCCTTAAAATTCAAACAAAAAATGTATATTTGTGAACCCAAGCACATAAACTTATCATATTTCATTCTGTTTAATATGAAATTAGGCAAAGCCTATGAACAGGGAAGTCATTAAAAATTCCTTTTATTTTATTGTTTTAAAGGTGTCATTCGGTATTTCATGCACTGCTTCCGTTTTCACTTGGAACACTCGCGATTATTATTTATCCGAAAAGTTGAGTTTTGTTCCGTTATCGGAATACCTTGCCTATTACCATTAAATTACAATGTAAATGGCTGCGCCTGACTAGAACTGACACTGAAAATTTTATTGATAGGTATTGAATTCTATATTTTTTTTAATTCTTCTTTATTTGATTTTCTTTTAAATATACACATGTAGTCTAAAGCCAGGCAAGCCAAAGCCCGGGCCCGCTTTGCGGCCCTGTTCTTAGACTTCCCCGAATAGTATTTTTACATTATCCTTTAAGGCTTTTGTCCATCGACACAGTACATATAATTCTCCATGATAATGGCCAATTGTCAGGGCAAGTGACCCTAATAATTTACTCGCCCATGACAAAATGTACTTGCCCTGCATTTTGACAGACAAAAACAGTTGAAATAAAAAAAACACATGACTCAAATTTAATATTGCTATTGCTATAGTTGGCTTTATTTAATTACATTTTGTTTATAATACTTTTAATATATAATCTTCGACATAGTCTGTTTTTTTTATTTCATTCAAATTCCAACACAATTGCGTGAATCGGCTAAGGAATCAGCCTTATGGCTAAGTATTAAACTTTTAAAACTATAAAACATTCTCGATTGTTTACCGAATAACTTCAATTATAAATCTTTAGAGAATCGTCATTTGGATCGGGATAATCTTATTTGCCCTCCTGGGCAATTAAACAATTTGATAAACTTTTCACTCAACCCAAACTGTCACTCACAAATGTTATCAAGCTAGTAGCTTTGTAGAGGCCTGGTTGGAGCCATTTGGTAATATGTTGGTTTCCATATTGGAAGCCCCGCACATTTGAATACGGCAAAGATGGATTTTAAGGTGTTTGAAGCTCCACACCACAGGTGTCTGTGTGTGTAAGTTGTCAGATAGCTCTAGAGTCAGTAGAGCAGGGGTACTGTATTCTGAGGGTCTCTTGTACAAGTCCCGGTAAAACTGCACATATTTCTCACCCTGTGAGTGTGACATTTTGCGCCCAACATGGGGCTGCATATTGCTTAGAGTTTAATAATAATTTTGCTGTAACCCAGAGAAATTCTGGACTAAATTTCAATATAGCAGGGGAATTTGTCACAGATCAGAACTTTTCACTATTTAGGGGAGAAAATGTGTAAACAGAAGGATAGCTCAGTCTGTAGAGCAGAGGAACGGTAATCCAAGGGTATCTGATTAGAGTCCCTGTCAGGCTGCACATTTTTCTCAACCTGTGACATTAGATTACTTGTCCAGCAGTTTAAATACCTGGCCATGATTGATAGACTTTGCATTGTTATTGTGGTTGTCCATCTAATTTGGCTAACTGTACGCTATACCATTAAATTATAGAATGATTAAATGAAACAGATGACAAAATATCCTTTACACACCTTGTATTTATAATTCACAGGACAATATGAATAGTCTGAATAAAGGTCAAACATCATGATAGTTTGGCATCACCTAAAATATTAATAATGTAAATTTTTTAAACATACATGTATTTCTTTCTTAATTAAGAAAGCTTTTTGTTGTTTTCCATTTTCCAGGTACAAATGTATGTTAACAAAGTTGGACCATATTTCAATCCTCATGAAACATACCATTACTATCAGCTTCCAGTGTGCAGGCCAGAAAAGGTAAATTTGTTAGAAATTCAGCACTTCAGCACATTTAATTAAAGGGACTTCACTGAGGTTTTTTGACATGACAGGACTGGAAATATTTTTTTGAGATTATTACTCCATTTGATGAAGATCTATACTAATAACTTATGTGCACAATTTCAGATCATTAGCTCGCTCCGTTTTTCCAGAATGATTATTATAATAGTGACAAATGACTTAAAATTGAAAAGCGTTTAAACGCTTTTCACTCAAATCGGACTGAGAATATCACAAACATACGATTTTCAATGTATTTCTTGTATATTTCTTAGTTATATTTATTTATAATTCTGTTAAAAGTGCTCACGTTGAACCATTTGAAAAATAAATTTTTTATATTTATAGCCATATAAACCTCAGTGGAGTTCCTTTAAAATTTCAGTAAGATTTCAGAGTTTGTTATCCCCCGCCGATGGAATCGGGAGGGGGATATAGTTTTGGCGTTGGACTAGTTCTCTGCAACTACTGGCTGGAATTCAACGAAACTTTATAGGAATCATCAATATCAAGAGGAGATGCGCATATCGTCGGCTTGTTCCGGTCCGACCCTTTAACTCAGAGTTATGGCCCTTGATTAGTTATGTAGTATGCATATAGAGTAAAAATCGTTTCCGGAGTAGTTCTCTGCAACTACTGGCTGTAATTCAACGAAACTTTATGGGAATCATCAATATCAAGAGGAGATGCGCATATGTCGGCTTGTTCCGGTCCGACCCTTTAACTCAGAGTTATGGCCCTTGATTAGTTATGTAGTATCCATATAGAAAAATATTTGTTTCCTCGCTACTTCTCTGCTACTACTGGCTGGAATTCAATGAAAATTTATGGGATACTAAGAGGAGATGTGCATATAGTCGCCTTGTTCCAGTCAGATACTTATAACTCAGATTTATGGCCCTTGATTAGTTATGTAGTATGCATACATCTCATTGGCATTTGCAGATTTTACTATTTAACACAAAGTTATGACTCTGTTATTGCCCTGAATATTTATCAAGTTCAAAGAATATTACTGTTTATGCCATGATTAATATATAAATAAAGCCTTATGTCTTCAGTTGTTGTGTTAATAATAACCAGTACTCGGCGGGGGATATAAATTCAACAAATTTGCTTGTTTTTTTATTGTTTTGTTTTTTTATCATATTGGCAAATTTTTAATCCTTTGCCCTTGGAATGTGTTAAAACTTCACATACTTATTTGAGAGCAAAAAATAATATCACTTGCCTATCCAAAACCCATATAATGTAACATGGATTTTTACAGAATTATGACCCTTTTTGAACTTCTCAGGGACTACCTTGGACTGAAAAATTAGGGAAAAGTGACTTCTCCCTTCAGGAAAAATAGGTAGAAGTTTTGAAAAAGAGAGAGAACTGAAGTGATACTTAAAATTGAATTTTTATCAAATCAAACTTTAACATTGTATATTTTAAATCTCATTTTACAAAAATGTATGTTTTAAATCTCATTTCACAAAATAATTTTGTATTTTTTAAATTTCATGTCACTTAATAATTATAACAACGGGTAACAAGTAGGCCTATAGTACACATGTTTTTGCTTATACATGTAAAATGAACAAATGTGCATTTGAACGTCTCTATGACGTAAGGAAATTCTAGTTAAATGTATTCTTTTAAATTTGTCATGAAAGTAAGTAAGCATTTATATCAACACAACAAACTTTTTTTCTTTGAGGTTCAAAAGTTTCTGACTCTTTCTTTAAACACAGTTTTCTGAGATAATAAATCTAGACAGTGAGCCATGATTTGATGGAATAAGTTAACAATTTAAGTACTTAAATCCATGATGGTAATCCAAATAAATTGTATGGCTTAAAATTGGTGTCATTTCATCAGTTTTCATATAAAGATTCAAAATAAAATTTAACTGACAAAAATCTTCTCTTGTTTTGTTAGATTGTAACTAACTATAAGTTACTATTAAGTAGTCAAAATTTAGTCTTTAAATTTATTCACTTCAAAGTTATGTAAATAAATTTTGATGTCAAGTGAGCAGCTAATCATTTTTGAAGACTTTTTATCACACTGAAATGTTTTGATAGAACACATTTGCTCTCTTTGCACCAAACATATTTAATACTTGATTGATGGAATTTAAAAAAAAAGTTATGATAATCATGAACATTTGCAGATGTATTTTTAGCTTAACTAAGCACAAAGAGATAAAACTGTGCATTTGTGATGGCATTAATTCATTCCCCTCTCTAGAATGCCCAGTACTTAGATAATACAAAAGTTAAAAGTCATACCCCTAGAGTCATAATTGTCCCTACACTAGGGATCACTTACTTTACATAGACATATATAGGAAAAATGAATTTGAATGCTAGAATCATTCATGATTACATGGTAAACCTCTACAAAAATGATTTGGATCTGGAGTCAATTTTTTCTTGTAATCATATTTGTTATAGTCCTTTGTAACTACATTTAAATTAAGTAAGAAATTATCTTTAAATTAAGTCTCTGATATTTAGCATGATATTTCACTTAGAAATATAGTCAAATCATTACAAACAAAAACAATCTACTGTAACAGTTTTGTTCGCAAGCCATTTCATTTGAATAGACTTGTACTGACAATCAAGAAATTACATTCAAAATATTATATGATTTGCTGGTTCATATATATTTTTCTTTTGATGTCTTAAGTTATTGTTACCATGGCAGTTGAAATGTTATTTTTGTACCGTGTTTATTTCAGATTGAGCATAAAAGTTTAACACTGGGTGAAGTGTTAGACGGTGATAGGATGGCTGTGTCCCTGTACGATATTAACTTCAAACGTAAGTAAAACAAATTTAATTTTTGTCATGTTTCTAAGTCTTTGGAAATAATTTTAGCTGATATAGATTAGTTTGACTGAATTAAGGACAATAACTTTTTCTGAATGTAATTGATTTTCCAATTTGTTCCTCTGTTCATTAACTAAAACAATAGGCTCCTCAGTGAGACTTTAAACTTCAGGTCTGTTATGGTATTCAACAGTTGTATGCTTTAACCATTGACCAGTGGAGTATGTTAAATCCACTAGTCCATTTTTTAGTCTGGACAAGACCCAGGGCCAATAAAATCTAATTTTGACTAACTTGTCCATTTTCATCTAAATTTTTATCTGAAGCAATTCTTAACTTGTCCGTATGATTCATGTATCATAAGATCATTTATCATTTCAAGGAAAAATTTAAAAAAATGTACTGACTGAATAGCCAAGGCAGCCCATCATCTTGGTTTGTATGGGTTGTAGCCAACAGGTTATGGGTTTTAATTGCTTCTCATCTTACTTTACAGTAATAGTTGGAATTATAAAAAAGCTAGAGGGACTAAGAGTGCTCTTTCACTTGCATACTGCATCTTGTTATTTTCAACTCTTATTCAGCCAAATGAAGATTTTACATTAATAAGAAAAAAAATAATAGAAAAACAAAAGTGTGGGGGGGGGGACTATATATATACATGTATTTCAAGCAGGTGGGAATGCGACTCAATTTTGCAGAGTATTTATTTTCACAACAACAAAAACCTGGAAACATGCCTCAGAATTTTTTCTAGTTATTCACTTTTGGTGATGTCAGCTCAGTAAACTATAAAAAGAAATAGCCCCAAACTTTGTACAAAATATAGCTTGAATTTTATGTACATGATGGAAACTTTTTTGGTTATGGTTATGTCAAATATTTTATATGAATGTTCTTTTCCCATAGGCCTTACAAATGTAATTGCCCCCTTTGTTCAACCTTTAACTAACATCTGTTATTGTTGCTGTTAAACAAAAATGATTAGACAGACAAATTTTCTCTTCAAAGTCTTCATTTGTTGCAAAGAGAAGCCTATTTTTAGATTGAATCTGAAATTGACCCGTTACTTTTGATTCTTATTCGTGCAAGTTTCACTTTTGAGACTAATCGGCAACATGATTGTGTGCCAGGAAATATTAAAACATGGCTGCTTAAAGGACATCAATAAGTAATAAACCTCTTATTTTCTCGTAAGAATTTATGGTACAAAAACGACTTTAAGCTCTCTTTCACTCGCCTAATGAAGCCTTACATTATCGCAAGTCTCATCCTTCTACCACCACGTACTCGAAAAATAACCTGATTCCTAATCTCCAATAAAAGATGAATGCGGGCTTAATAAGGGCTTTGTCAATGCGATGATTAAAATTCGCACGGATTATACCTATCACTGTCTATTTGACGGTATTAACGACCCGTAATCCCGAATTTTGTTACAACTTTTCTGATTAGTTCTTAATCTCATCAGGTGGCAGGAGAGCTTGAAAAATCATAAGCAATCATCTGAGTGAAGCAGATTGTTTTTGAAAAGAAAAGAATAATAAAACGTGAAAATAGGATTTACGAAGTGATCAAGTTAAGAAGCTTACGTGATAGTGACGGGCTTCTGAATCTCTCACTCTCCGAAGATTTAAATGCAAATTGGCAGATGATAGATTGAAGTTTTTTGTCTTTCTCCGTTGTATTCAGGTAAAGGGTTTAGTGTGATTGATATAAGGCCACATATGAGAATTGGTCAGTGTGTATAGAGTAGTTGTAGCTTTAATACAGGAATATTTTTGGGGTCTCTCTCTTAAAAAGTATATGTATTATATTTCACATGGAGAATTCAGTCTTCTTGAATCAGTTGTTTGGCTGGATTTTATTACTTGTAACCCTGCTGAATTTCTTGATTAGATTTGTCTAGCTCCCATTTTTAGAAAGATAAGAATTTAAGTTAAAGTCAATCAGCAGTATACAGCCTGGTAAGATTGCACAGAAGTGAAGGCTGGCTTGGCTCTATACTGGAGGCAAAGACTGGTCATATTTGGATCCAGCAGGTTATGGGTTGAAAAATTTACATGATCAATGCCCTTGTAACTTGATCCCATAATTAAACATTTAAAAACATTGAATATGATGTTTCGCATTTTATGTTATCTGAATAATTTTAATCGTATAATGGTTTTTAAAAAAGTGGAACCAAAAGAGATCGTTTAATCATATTTTATTGCTAATATATACATGTAAATATACAGAGAAACAATTTGATTTTGAAATAACAAAAGGCTTGGGCCCAAGTTCTTACAACATTAGCGATTGGCTCTCCCCTGAAAAAGAAATTACCGATAGTCTTTGCCATCAGTTTTAGAATAGAACCAACCAGCCGGCACTTCCATGAAGTGTGACCTAACTCTATATTGTGGATGGGGTTAGCTCAATATTGAAATCCCTTAAACTTGGCAGAGAAATTTCCATGACACAAATTCAGGCATACTGAAGGTTCATTATTGAACAGTCAGACAGGTTTTTGTGTATTATTGATGTTGTTAACTTATGACAACAGGTGAACAATTTTAAGGTGATTTACACGGGCTATAATACTTTCACAGATATGACTGTCACATTAGAATATTAAACATTTATATGACTAATAAGCTTGTCCATCAGTATTATTCTAAATAGTGAAATATCCAATTCGGCATTAGTTCTCATGGAATCTTGGTCACGATTCTCCACGAAATATTTTATTATTGTTACCTGTTCTCTAAGCTGATATGTGACACTGAATTACCTGAGTGTAGAAATTATTACGGGAAATTGTTATTGTGTAAAGCTGATTTTAAATATGACTTTGTCTTTGGAGAATCTTTGATCCCTGTTTTATGAAAGTGATCCCTGTTTTGTTACTGTAATCATGAGCTGCTTAATTAATTAGTATTTAATAAATATTTAATGTCAAGATTGGAAATGTTTTAAGAAATAAAGAGGGTTTGTTTGTTGGTTTTTTACGGGAAATGGCATGGCTGTCAGACTTTAGAGCTCAGTATTATTATTCAAAAATAATGAAATGATGGTACCCAGTGATTTATGGATGGTACCCGGGTTTGACATTATTATTTTTGACACCCGTGACCGTAAAAGAACTGGTACCCTGTAGTTTTTTGACACAATAGATACTGGTTCCCTCTATTTCATACACACTTATTCACTAGTGAAAGCACTGATGCAGACACCAGTTAAGTGCAGGTACCCTGAGAGGTTTATTGCCAGAAGTAAAGTATTGGTACCCTGTGTTTTGTGGCAGTGGTTTAGTGCTGGTACTTCAAAAAAATCAAAAAAAAAATTTAAAATAACCAGGTACTTTATTGGAAGAATAAAAATAGCAATCTGTCTGAAATAGAAGAGTATACCGTCACATTAGTGCAAAAATAGGTTAAATCGTATTAAATTTCATTAGGAATTAACCTGTTACTGCACTTAAAGGTGATGAGATGTACTTCTTAATAAGTGCTCATACAGTATTTTGGCCTTCAGTTGCAGCTAAAACTCCTTGCTAGGCTTTCTAGTTTATCTGCATTAAAGGAGCTCCAGTGAGATCAAATACCTAAAACATAAAAGTTGAAGAAGAAGAAAAAGATGAAAAATGAATGTACTCAGATCAATATTTAGTGTGATTCTTTGTCTGATTTGTTTGAAAACATTCATTTTTCATATAAGTCATTTTGCACATTCTGGAAAAAAAAAGTGAGCAAATTATCCCAATTCACAGGTAAAAATTCCCAATTGGAAGTTACAAAATGAAAATATTGAATAACAAATTCTAAATCTTTGAAAATAAGGGCTTCTTCACTGTTATGGTGCTTAAATGTTGAAGATGCCATCCTAGACAGTGATTCTTTGTATTCATTTAATCACTGCAAAATTTAATTCGTACATTTTTTCGCAATTTTTAACAAAACATCGCATTTTATATAATTTTTCATGACTTTTATTTTTTCAGAGGATGTTGAGAAGAAGGAATTGTGTAAAGTAAAGTTTACAGAGGCAGATTTACAGTTACTGAGAGATGCAATAGAAGATCTCTATTACTTTGAGTTTGTAATTGGTAGGTGATATTTAACACTGGTAAACTCACAAAATGCGACTAAAAATGGAAATTGCCAAAAGTTTTTATGCCACCATAACATCTGCAGTGTGGTGGCATATTGCAATTTACCTGTGTTTGTGTGTGCGTGTGTTTGTGTGCATTTGTTTCTGTTATATAATATAGTCATTTGTGTCTGTTATATAGTGAACTTATAAAATCTTTTTCTTAAAAACCACAAGTCCTATTTTATTATTCCTTGGATAATTGGCTTTAAGAATAATTATGATTCCATTCAGAAATCTGTTTGCTGTGGCAACCAAAAGGAATACAAATATGACAGGAAGAAACATAAAAAATCTTCATCTCTAGAACCACATGGCTTAGAGCAGAGATAGTACTCTAATATAGTACCCACAACAAATAAATTAAATGAGCAGAAATAATTTCAAGGCAACCACAGCTTTCCATATTGATTTGCAGTGATTGTACTGTAGTTGCATTTTCATTGAACTATTTTAAAATGGTATACTCTAACCATATCAAAAGCTAATATTTTGAATAACACCAACACATTATGACGTTATGCTTATTTTTTCATAGTCAAGTGGATATGTTATAAAAGGTTGACTGTTACAATAGTGATTGACCAACAATTGTTACTGAATTTTTTTTAGAATAATATATGAATCTGCCTTGACAATATATTAAAAGACTATACCCCACTCTTTTTATAAGTTCATTCTGATAATATTTACAAACATTTACATGAGAAATATTAGTTATTTATCATTCATGCGGAAAAAAACCCATAAAATGAAAGGAAATTATGGGAATTTATGGCAAAATGTAAACCAAATATTGCCTTTCACCTGTTCATTCAATATATACCCTTGGATGGGCATAATGTTACTTTTACCAGTTATGTGCAAGCATCTTTTCATGCACATCAATGAAAGACTGCAGGTAATCAACCAATTAAAATCAACATTACTCTATGAATATTATTTGCAGTGAATTTAAATTGATTTTCATGCTCAGTTAATTCTGTATGAAAATATTAAAGAGGCATTTTATTTTATCTTGAATCATGAATCATGTTGATCTGTAAAAATAGTAGAAGATTAATGATGCTAACTTAAAAAATATAAACTGTGTTGGTATGACGTAAATCCAACAAACAAAATGTAAATATATATTACACTTATCATTGGAGAATAAACTGGCCTATTTGTTTCTGCTTTTTATTAGCTCACCTGAGCACAAAGTGCTCAAGGGTGAGCTTTTGTCATCACTCTGTGTCCGTCGTGCGGTGTGCGTCGTGCGTCATGCGTCCTTCAAAAAATGGCGTCAAACTTTTCAAACAACATGTCCTCCTAAACCACATGGCCAATTGCAACCAAACTTTACAGAAATGATCCTTAGGTGGACCCCTTTCAAAGTTGTTCAAAAATTTAAATTCCATTAAAAACTCTGGTTGCCATGGCAACCAATAGGAAAAACTTAAAAAATATTCTTTTAAAAAACCCTAAGAGCTAGAGCTTAGATATTTGGCATGAAACATCTTCTAATGAGTGTCTACCAAGTTTGTTCAAATCAAAGCCCTGGGGTCAAAATTGGCCCCGCCCCAGGGGGTCATTGATTTTCCCTATATGCATATAGTAAAAACTTAAAAAATCTTCTTTTAAAGAACCTAAAGAGCTAGAGCTAAGATATTTAGCATGAAACATCTTCTAATGAGTGTCTACCAAGTTTGTTCAAATAAAAGCCCTAGGGTCAAAATTGGCCCCGCCCCAGGGGGTCATTGATTTTCCTTATTTGTGTATAGCAAAAACTTAAAAACTCTTCTTTGAAAAAACCCAAATAGCTAGAGTTTAGATATTAAGCATGAAACATCTTCTAGTGATTGTCTACAAAGTTTGTTAAAATAAAAGCCCTGGGGTCAAAATTGGCCCGCCCCGGGGGTCATTGATTTTCCTTATATGTGTATAGCAAAAACTTAAAAATCTTCTTTGAAAAAACCCAAATAGCTAGAGTTTAGATATTAAGCATGAAACATCTTCTAGTGAGTGTCTACAAAGTTTGTTCAAATAAAAGCCCTGGGGTCAAAACTGGCCCCGCCTTAGGGGTGTCATTGTTTTTAACTATATGTGTATAGTACAAACTTAAAAAATCTTCTTTTAAAAAACCCAATGACCTAGAGCTTAGATGTTTAGCATGAAACATCTTCTTATTGGTGTCTACCAAGTTTGTTCAAATAAAAGTCCCTGGATTAAAATTGGCCGGGGGTGGGGAGTAGATCATTGTTTTTCATTATATGTGTGTAGTAAAAACTTAACATTGTGAAACATCTTCTAATGGGTGTCTTCCAAGTTTGTTCAAATAAAAGCCCTGGGGGTTTAAACTGGCCCCGCTCGGGGTGCCTTTATACAGGTGAGCGACCTCAGGGCCATCATGGCCCTCTTGTTCTTACATCACACATTCTGTCTCCACCTCTTGTTTTATGTCTCATACATGTTTGAAAGTTTTAAGGACCATTGCTACAGTACAGATACTTGGACTTCCAAAAGCCACCTTTTTTATATCTACATAAAACTATGATCAAAATGTGTTAAAATTCTGGTTTTTAAGGAGTAAATGTGGATATGTAACTTTTACCCATGTTAACAGATATATTAGATATTAGGTACTATTTTATAGAGATTACCAGTAGCCTTAAAATTTACATGCAAGTTTGACTGGTAATAAAGCAGTCTTCACTAGTTAATATGGAATTTTTACTAGCCAAAGAAGAAATGTACTTTTAAGCTCACCTGTCACTAAGTGACAGGGTCAGCTTTTGTGATCGCTTTTCGTCCGGCATCCGTCCGTCATCCGTCCGTAAACTTTTTCTTTTAAATGACATCTCCTCATAAACCACTAAGCCAATTTCATCCAAACTTCACAGGAATGTTCCTTTGGTGGTCACCTTTAAAAATTGTTCAAAGAATTTAATTCCATGCAGAACTCTGGTTGCCATGGCAACCGAAAGAAAAAACTTTAAATATCTTCTTTTAAAAAACCCAAAGAGCTAGAGCTTAGATATTTGACATGAAACATCTTCTAGTAAGTGTCTACCAAGTTTGTTTCAAATAAAAGCCCTGGGGTCAAAATTGGCCCTGCCCCAGGGGGGTCATTGATTTTCCATATATGCATATATAGTAAAAACTTAAAAAATCTTCTTTTAAAGAACCCAAAGAGCTACAGCTAAGATATTTAGCATGAAACATTTTCTAGTGAGTGTCTACCAAGTTTGTTCAAATAAAAGCCCTGGGGTCAAAATTGGCCCCGCCCCAGGGGGTCATTGATTTTCCCTTTATGCATATTATTCAAGTGGCCAATAATAAAAAAGTAGGGATAAAAGTAGGAAATTTTTTGTAAAAAAGTAGGGAAAAGTAGGGATCTTCAGAGCCTAAAAGTAGGGAAAGTAGGACTCTACTCACCATTTTTCCAAAGTTGATGCAAAAACAAATACAGACCCTTATCAACTAAAATCCATGGCATTTTCTTCATTTAGGAAACCAGTCACCAGTGTTTCAATAGGGATTCCACAACAGGATGAATCTGGTCATCAACCTGGAATTGGTATTTTTTATATTAGATCCAATTCCAAATAATAAAAGAAAACTATAAACAATGAATATGTCAGAACACAGACTATTACTATTTAGAAACATTAAACATTAAGTAAGCATGTTTTTGTACACAGACTAGAAACAGGAAATGTGGTAAAACCTTGTTTAAGATAGCATGGTTGTTACAAAATACAAACAAGAAAAATGTTATGTGCAAAAACATAGTTTTAGATGGCATAATATATGAAACACAGACTAGAACAAGGATAGGTGTTAAAACATGATTTTTTAACTAGCATTATAACACACTAGAAAATGAAAAGGAGTAAATGTAAAGAAGCAAAAATTTACTAGCATCCTAGTTGTGCATGGAGTTTACCTAGGCATGCAAAATAGATACTTGTAACAATCAAAAGTAAAATTTAAGATATATACACAAGCAGTTAGTATGCAAAGTTAGTACATGCAAAACTGACAAATCAAAGCAAGGGTTTACAGTTCATAATGTATTAATTAGCCACTGTATTCAGAGTTAGAGTCTTTTACACCAGGAATGGAGTTCATGTCCATTTTCATCTTTTTGCATTAACCATGCATTGTTAAATTTTGTGTGTTCATGTGGCATTGTGAAGTTAATTTTTATAAATTAATGGGCCTGAAATAATAGATTGAGAGTAAAATGGAATTTAAAAAGAAACTTAATGACACTTGCGAGAAATGTAAGTAGGTCTCAGATAATTCCCAAGGTAGAGACGAGTATTTATGCCATATTATATATTTAAAGATAGAGAGCAAAAAACCTGTTAAGTAAACTTTGGATGCAACAACAATCTCTCACAACTTTAATGATTACATTACTAATAATTGGCATACTGAAAGCCTAAACACACAGTTATTCTTAAATTATCTGTTATAAAAATTCTTAATCCCCACCATATTAAAGCTATCAAATTCTATCTAATGAAAGCATATGTATTTTTCAGAAACACTTCCTACATTTTTCCAGTATCTTTCATTCAATGAAAATTCAGGACAAAATGATCACAGTGAGCAACTTCAATACTTGCCAATATGCCAAACATTGTCTAAAATCTATATATGCTCAAAGATGTTGGCAAGTATTGTCCCTCAGCATAAGTATCATTGGGAAACAATTGAGAAGCTAGTCTGTGTACAAAAACATATTATAATTTTGAAATGAAACACAAAAAATAATTGACCATTAAGTAATATTTCTATAGAAGCAAACTCACCTAAAGATGCTGATTCTGCCATGTCAGCTACAATCATCCTCATCATGGAACCCCTCTTGTACCACTGATGACCTACTTCCATCAACTTTTTTCTACAATTAAACTAGCATCTGATTCTTATTAAATTTGAGATAAAGATTATATCAAAATCAATCTACTACTTATACTGGATTTTTTTATCAATTATCCTCAAGCTTTTTTTAAAAAAAAGTAGGGATAGTAGGGCATTTCAAAAAAAAAGTAGGGAAAAGTAGGGGTCAAACAAAAAAAGTAGGGAAAAGTAGGAAAAGAAGGAAAAGTAGGGCCCGCTTGAAAGCCTGTATAATATGCATTATTTGAACAAACTTAGAAGATGTTTCATGCTAAATATCTAAGCTATAGCTCTTTGGGTTCTTTTAAAGAAGTTTTTTTAAGTTTTTACTATATGCATAAAGGGAAAATCAATGACCCCCTGGGGCAGGGCCAATTTTGACCCCAGGGCTTTTATTTGAACAAACTTGGTAGACACTCACTAGAAAATGTTTCATGCTAAATATCTTAGCTGAAGCTCTTTGGGTTCTTTAAAAGAAGATTTTTTAAGTTTTTACTATATGATATAGTAAAAACTTAAAAAATCTTCTTTTAAAGAACCCAAAGAGCTTCAGCTAAGATATTTAGCATGAAACATAAAGTGTCTACCAAGTTTGTTCAAATAAAAGCCCTGGGGTCAAAATTGGCCCTGCCCCAGGGGGTCATTGATTTTCCCTTTATGCATATAGTAAAAACTTAAAAAAACTTCTTTAAAAGAACCCAAAGAGCTATAGCTTAGATATTTAGCATGAAACATCTTCTAAGTTTGTTCAAATAAAAGCCCTGGGGTCAAAATTGGCCCGTCACAGGGGGTCATTGATTTTCCCTTTATGCAAATAGTAAAAACTTTAAAAATTTCTTTAAAAGAGCTCAAAGAGCTAAGATATTTAGCATGAAACATCTTCTAGTGAGTGTCTACCAAGTTTGTTCAAATAAAAGCCCTGGGGTCAAAATTGGCCCCACCCCGGGGGTCATTGATTTTCCTTTTATGTGTATAGCAAAAACTTAAAAAATCTTTTTTGAAAAAACCCAAATTCTAGAGTTTAGATATTTCGCATGAAACATCTTCTAGTGAGTGTCTACAAAGTTTGTTCAAATAAAAGCCCTGAGGTTAAAATTGGCCCGCCCCGGGGGTCATTGATTTTCCTTATATGTGTATAGCAAAAACTTAAAAATCTTCTTTGAAAAAAAACCAAATAGCTAGAGTTTAGTTTTAGGTCATTGTTTTTCATTATATGTGTGAAGTAAAAACTTAAAATCATGAAACATCTTCTAATGGGTGTCTTCCAAGTTTGTTCAAATAAAAGCCCTGGGGTTTAAACTGGCCCGCTATATACAGGTGAGTGACCTTAGGGCCATCATGGCCCTCTTGTTATGTTGGTTTCTAATTTCGGTCACCTTGTTCAAGTTGCCACAATTTTAGGTAAATAATTTACCATCAGGCACTTTGAATAGTGCAATTAAACAATTATTTGATTTCTTAATTGCATTTTCTTGTTTTGAAAAATGTTCTTAATGTTTTTCTTTTGCTGTCACTTTTTTCTGAATTTCAACACTTTTTTTAACATTAAAAACATACAAAAAACAAAGACAACAGAGTTTGTCATATTGAGAGTTGATCTGATTATCTGCTGTTTCAAAATCATAGAATTTTGACAATATTTGATAAGAGGAAAAAGGGCAGGCCATATGAAACGAAAACTTTGAATTGCCAAAAGATTACTGTCAACATTTTTTACTGCATGATGTGAGACCATTAAGAAAACATTGGCTTGATTTTGAAACTGAATTTCATTAAATAAATTGCTTGCTTTGTAAAGGTGTGGACGTTTTCAGAGCTTCAATTATATGTCCGCCTCTAGATTCCGGTGAAATGTGATGAAAATTCAGCATTTATAATTTAATGTTGTAATTAGTTAGGATGTAAAAGGATTAAGTTATAAAATTACTAAAATAATTCTTCATGTTCTTCCTAATTTTGGTCAACGTTCTTTAATGTATTAAAACAATTCAATTGCCGTGAGAAATTGGAGGAAACAAAATGTGGTGAAAATCTCTACGAGCAAGATACACTACTTCCTGCTGAAATTAAGAGGATGAAAAAAAATGAAGGGGGGCAGGGGCAAGTAATCATGTTTGTTTGTCTACTTTTGCATAAGTTTTATTAGAAGCATGAATTCCGGCATCTTAATGATTAAAGGACATATCCCCCAAGTAGTCTAGAAATCGGATAGCCAAGTGATTTGATGTTCTTTCTCTATTATATAGTAGCCTAATTTGAAACACTTTCCCTGTAGTAATATTATCCTCATCAGACCATGAGGCAACTGAAGAGTACTAATGGGTATATGATAAGTCTAGCTTACAGGTATGACTTTTTCCATCAAATGACCTTCACCTTTTAAGTCAAATTATTGGAGGTAATTAATTCTAAAGCCTTAAAGCATAGTAACTTCATAAAGATGTTGCCAAACATGTCATAGCATCCAAATATCAATTTGAATCTGTGTAAACTACAGAGTTCTGCAGAATTTTAATAATAAATTTTCATATTGTCCTTTAAGGTGAAAGACAATGCAAGAAAGTCAAGGTCAAATTTTAGTAACTTTACATGAAAGTTTTGTCCAAAGATTTGTGTTTTGTCCAGATATGAATCAAATCCATTCTATTTGATTGATATTTGGATGCTATGATATGTTTGGCAACATCTTTATGAAGTTACTATGCTTTAAGGCTTTAGAATTAATTACCTTTAAAGTCTTCTTTTTATACTTAATGAAATTTTTTTCAACTTTGTCTGTGTTAAAGAATAGTTTATAAAGTTGAAAATTTCATTAGTTCTTTTATGTATTTGGTTTATGCTTGAAACGTTCTAATGTAACTCTGACCCTTGAAAGACCTTCACCAAGGAAAACTTCTCAATTTTTTTGCATTTGGTAATAAGAAAAAGTCAAGTGTGGCCCTTGCATTTGGTGGTTCATGTTTTAGGAATGTAAGCTGTATAGTTAGCAATGCCTTTATTTAATGAGGTTTACACATCGGTCTCCAGATCTTGCATATGGGCCTCGGCATGTATGCAATATATATCATATGCAGTGATAGTACTATTGATATGTATTACATTTCAAAAACAATCAAGTGACTATTTGCAGAATTAAATTGTCTATCCATTTTACATTTAGAAAATCCTATTTTCAGATGATGTTCCAGTGAGAGGATTCATAGGTCATCTGGAAGAGGGTGGTTTTCTGCCTCACACCCATAAAGTCTACCTGTGGGCTCATTTACATTTCAATGTAGAATATAATGGGAACCAGATCATCTATGCCAATGTCTCGACGAAGGAACAAGCCCCCGTGAGCCTTGATGAGGTATCTGCACCACTTGAAGTAGCATTCACTTACAGTGTGAAATGGTACCCTACAAGGTATAAACTAAACTTTAAAGTAAAGCACTGCAAGGTCATTTCTGTCGTTATGTGTTGGTGAATGGCCCAATGGTATAATTTTCTGAATTCAGGGTTCACAAATTGTATCTCATGTTACTGAGGCTAGAATAACTTAAGTCTTTAGATGTGCTTTAATGTTGAACATTTATAAGGAGTTATATAATGAAAAATATAAAATGACTTGTTGGGACAAGTGCACTTAACCAGTAAGTAGAAAGTTCTTTTTACAGGAATGTTCAATGTTTGCAATGGCCAATCAGGTGCAAGTTATTTATTTTTGTTCATCATTTGTTTTCATTGTTTATTGTGCTATCTTATCAAAACCGCCACTTTTTCTACAATCATCTCATTTAAATTAAAGCCAAAGTGGGTGGCATTTTTTTAATTTTGTAAATGCGCAAATAGCGTATACTGATCAAGTGCATTTAACCCAACATGTTTGAGAAAAAAAGAGTACTCAAACATACTTTAGTGGTCTCCATTGCATAGAAGTTATAACTCTTTTAACCCTTTAAGGGGGTGGGGGGCAACTGTTTCTACCCATGTGTTCAAGGTTGACCAAGACACATCTGAGCTATTTCCCAAAAAATGATAAATGGTTTTGTGTCAGATTGAAATATAGACAAGTCCATTAAAACATACATTTGAACTCTCCCACTTAAAGCGGAAGACTCCCACTTTCTGCAGCCATATTTTCAAAGATTTTCTTAAAATAAGGGGGTATTTTCACAAATTAATGCAATCTCCCACTTTTTGATATCAGAACTTTCTACTCTTTTTAAAGAAAAATCTCCCACTTGATCATCGAAAAAAGTTCACATGTATGTAAAAATATTTTTACTGATAAAGGTTAAGGAACGGTAAAAACTTTTGCCATTTGTATGTCAAAATATGTTTATGTTTAAATTTTCATTGTTTACATTACAGTATGAAGTATGAGGATAGGGCCAAGAGGATGAGGGACAACAGTTTCTTCCCTAAAACATTGGAGGTAAATTATTCTAAATGTAAAGAAACAAAAACTCATTTAATCAAGCCGTTTGTTGTGAAAAGATAACTGATCAAGCTCTTAACTTTAGTTTCTTTTCTTTTATGTTTTAGCCTTAAAATGTAAACCAGTAACCAGACTGGATAACAAGTCAGCTTATTTGCATAAAACTGTAATCACTCAAAAGGTCCATTAGATAACCAGTCAACTAATTTGCATAAAACTGTAAACACTGAAAAGGTCCATTTGCTTGAGTGCTTTAATTATTTTTGAATCGCCTTCCTTTTAACTACTGTTGGTTCAACAGCTGCCAGAGACTCTGTGTCCTTTCATGTAAGATAGCTGTGTGATGGTTTCACATAGGTCCAAATTTATAAATAGTTACTAAGCATAGCTTAACATGTACATGAAGAGTTTGGATCAACTTGTTTGAGAGCTTAAATTATTTTGAATCGCTTCATGTCTCACCGCCTATTCAGCTAGCTTACGGAACGTCGGTGGTTCTACTCAGGTGCCCGTTCGTGCCTGAATAATGCATGAAGGGCACCTGAGGTCTTCCTCCACCAGTAAAGCTGGAACATTGCCAATTGACCTATACTGTGTCAGTGTGACGTAAAACCCAAACAAACAAACAAAAACATCTCACCTCTTTGGGTTCTATGATTATCTTAAACTTTGCATACTTTCAATATTAAGATCTTCTTTAAGATGTTCTTTAAGATGGAGGAAAAAATGTTCATTTTAATGGAGGAAAAAAGCTCATTTTAAAGAAAATTAGTGAAACAAAGAGATGCTTACTTTTGTATTCTTTTTTTAGATTCATTGGCTTTCAATTATCAACTCTATGGTTCTTGTGTTCCTGCTAATTGGCTTTGTTGTCATTATTCTGGTAAGTAATTTTGTATTTTCCTAGGCTAGCCTGGAAATACAATTTAAAGAGAATAAAGTATTTAGCCAGGCTAACTTGAGAATACAATATGGCACCTGTCCAATAAGTATTGAAACAGTCTTGCCTGTCAGTTAAAGTATTCAGCCAGGCTAACCTGAGAATGTAATATGGAACATGTCCTACAAGTATTCAGTGAAACTAACATACAATAATAAAGATATACCACTAGTTTTAAGCAAAGCTTGTATGAGGTTTTATTTGTACAAAACTGATTCAGGTTGGCCAGAGAATATAATACTAGACCTTTATTACATATTTGGCGAGGACAACCTTAGAAATATCATACATATATCACCAGTATAGAGTCAGGCTAGCCTGGGAAAACCTGTTCTCTGATTAGGATTAAAACTATTAGCTACTTGTAAAAGTTTGGTTAAAAACAATGCTATTGTTATCCCTGTAATTAACTATGAACATTAAAAAAATTTAAGCAAAATTTATCTGTAATGAAAGAACAGACGTGTAAGATTTATAGTTCTATTTACATGGTATGTGCTTAAAACAGAATTTGGAATTGTATGGAATTTGAAGTTATTTTGGTCAAGGTGCTAGAAAAAGATTTTTTACATTTTATCTATAGGCTTATGTCTGGCATGTTTAGAAGAAATATACTAAGTGGTCCTCAAACTTGTGTTGGCATTGGAGTTGTCAATGACAAGATCATTGTTTCTAAACATAAATCTACATTTTCGTACATATTTTGTACTGTACTTATTGACCAAAGAGCAGTTTGTAGGTGCTTTACCCATATGTCTTGCCTTAATTTCCAACTTTCCTATGTGATAAAAAGTATTAGTAATAGATTTTATATAAGTATAATGTACATGCTCCAATTCATGTCATTAATTGTGCAAATTCTTCACTCACGAAATATATCAGTTATGACGAACATTCATCATCAACTTTCAGAAACTGAGAAAACGTTAGTCTTATATCTCAAAATTGACAAGAGGTAATTCATTTGCCATGTAAAAATAAAATGTCTATGTTTGAAAAGAATTTTATTTGAAATTTTCAACATGGTCAACATAATGTCAGTGGATTTGCATCAGTTCAGACTAAATTAACACTCCCTGGGCTGTTAAGTCGCTCTAAGATTGAAATTATATTACTTAACAATATCATATGTTAAATTTATCATATAATTCAACCTTAACACACCTTGAGGACTGAGCCTTTATCTCCATGAAATGTTTAATGGACTTGTCCATCTTTCAAAGGAAAATTTCAAATATAAACCAACTGAATAGTAAACAGTGCAAACCATGATAAGATGGCACAGATATGTGCTGGTTGATCTTGGTCTGCACTGGTTACATTGGTAGAATCTGTCGCTACCTGTTGGCTTTATAGTTAAAGGTACAAATGTTTAAACTATTGACCTATTTAAAAGAAAACTGCCAATGTCATGTGTGTACGTGAGATTATACATGTACTTGATATGTGAGCACCACAGGAGAGTTATAAACCAGGTAAATAAGCAGGAAATGATGTGAGCAGCTAACAGGTTGTCACACCGGAAGCTATAAAATGATCTTGGTAACGTTCACTAGGTCATCAAAAGATGATTATGAAAGAAAAAGTCATTTAAGGAAAACGTGAAATAGTTGAGATCTGTTAATACTGTATTCCGTGATTAGTATGAAATGTGATAAGTATACATCAGTGTTCAAAGTCACGTATCCAAATGTCACATATTCAGGAAAACTTTTTTTTTTTTTAAGTAATGGCAGAAGAATGTTGTAGGGGGGAGCACCAATTTCCATTGTTTAAGTTCCATAAGCAATAATGTGAGGTATAAGTCTGATGAGTTTTGGGTGCAAAGTTTTCTCTCATTAAATGTTTAACATCGGGAATGTCACACCTTCTATGCCGGCTTGTACCTGAATTTATGCACAAAGAGACACCTGATGACTTCCTGTCCATAAAAACCTGGAAAGTTGCCCATATGGCCTTTCAAGTGGCCGTGTGATTTAAAACTTGAACATCCCGTTTTAGGTCACTGGCCAACATTTGTAATCTAAGCTATGTTAACTAATTGTAGCCTTATATTAAAAAAAGCTTTGAATGAAGGAAGGCACTGACTTTATTACAAATGTGTTTATTCCTTTGATTTTGCTAATATTGTTTTAAATATTTCAGTTGGTAAACTTAAATTTGAGTTTCAAAAATTGGCCAATCTGTTATATATTGTGAGCTTTTTTGTTTTGTCTTTCTTTTCAGTATAAAGACCTAAAATTTTCACTTGCACTGTATTCTAGAGCTGAGGTTTGCATTTTGTTCCCATTCTTGTGTAGGCCAGGTCAGGAAATGAAGTAGATTTATAGAAAACAGCTCCCTAATATCATTTCTTTAACTTGGGCTAATGTTTCATTATTGAAGTCCTGAAATCTCTGAGAGTTTAATAAACTTTAAGCCATTTTCCTCCAGGCCATGATTTTAATTGTTATAAGCTAGTATGTTTTGAAGAAAAAGTCGAGCTATTTTGAATGCTGCGTCATTATTATTGATGTTATTGTGTAAAAACTGTAATCTATTTTTCAAACATTGAAAAAGTTATCAAAATGTAACTTGGAATTCTTGCTTATTTTGACAAGGTTCAGTTGTTAAACAAGGGGCAAAATGCTGACAGCAATATTTTTATGAGTTATGCCCCTTTTTAACAGAGGAGCATTCACATTGCATGCAGTGCTCTTGCTGTTTATGTAGTTTGAAAATGCCATCTTGATTCGATATTTATTACATAACCCAGTGTTCCCTAACTATCAGACAGAGATACTTTAACTTTTTCAATGTTTTCTTGTTTTATTATATATCATTTGGTTAAAGGAAACTTTCATTTGTTATTTCATACTGTGAACTCACTTTATTTCTAAATGCTTTGAATATAAATAGAAAATGAAAGTAGCATGCAGACAGTGTTGATATTGTGTGATAGAATTTTGAAGATCTTTGGAAATCATCCGAGTAACCGAGTACAAATGTACTCGATCAGAAAAATGACCGAGTACTCGAGTATTAGTTTTGGTATTCTTTGCCATCCCTACTAAATTTATTGAACAAGTTAAAAAAAAATCATACTGTGCGTGCCTCTGGTGACGGAAAAAATATTAATTTTAGAAAAAGAAAATAAGAAGTATCAAAGGTGCGTTTTGTCTAATATTACCAAAGTTGTCCAATTCCCCCTTGTGTATGTGTATGAAGGAAAAGGTCATTAAGTTATTTGGTCAATTGGGTTTAATGCATTGGGTATAAAGCCACACAGACACTTTTAAGGTTGTATGGCAACTTCCAGCTTTACTGTTGGGAGACAAGATCTCGGGTACTCCTTTGCGCATTATTTCAGTCACAAGCTGGCACCTGAAATAGAACCTCTGCCCATTTATTAGCTAGCTAGATTGCTCTCTCTCTCTCTTTCTCTCTCTCTCTGTCTCCCGAGTATGACTAGGAATATAATGTTAAATTTCATGCATATATCTGAATAATCTCCCTTTTTAGCTTGATAAACATAAATCTCTAGTGCATATATTTTTACAATTACCACCTCTTCAGTATAACAGTTTAGAATTATTATTTTCACTATTGCTTTTCGACCACAAGATATTATTTTTCAACATTGTCCATGCCAAAAATGCCAAGGGACACAACTCTGGCACAAAAGAATTATAGTTTGAAGTTTTATCTCATACTTCTTCTTATTACCTTGTGGATTGAACTGCTGACTTTTTGATAAACAATCATCCTTTAATTATTAGAAAGTTATGTGTCATAAAACATTGTTGTTGTTTTTTTGGTTACCAAAACTGAATGTACTTGTAAATGCTGACAAGAAAAAACATTTTTTTCTAATTGTAAATAATTAAAGTGCAAATATTAAGGGGCTGTTTTCCATAAATCTGACCTCATTTTACTCCCGGTAGAGCTAGAATTATATACACAATGGTTGAAAGATATTCCTAGCATAAGATACATATTCTTTGTTGACAGCAATATAATGACTTGCCTGTTCCACTAGAGCACTGATCCTGAAGGGGTATCTTTGACTTCAAACCACCTGCCACTTAATACGTCTGTCTCTTGTCTTAAGTCCCTTGTGAGGATCATTTACAAGTGAATTGCCCTTCTGGAACAGGCAAGAGGCAATTTAACAAAAAAGTTGGGAATTTGGGGGGGGGGGGGGGGGGGGGGGGGGGGGGGGGGGGGGGGGGGGGGGGGGGGGTGTAGGAGACAAAAGTCTGTTTACATAAAAAAGCAATATTTGTTTAGAAAGACTTGTTCTGTTGTTGAATCATTTACAATAAAATGACAGCAATATCCCAGTTTTAGAATTGAGCAGCGAGTTACAAGTACATTGAGAGTAAAGTAAAAGTGGTTCGTGTAATTAGATGTGTTATTGAAGTTGCTAGATGATATGTTTTCCTTGAATGGGTTTGACCTTTCCACGCCTAAATTTGATTAACAAACTTGCCTTGCTTTTAATTTGAAGCTGTCATTTGTTATTGTTACGTTATTCTAAATATGTGCAACTTTAGCATTCTAATGTATAAAGACTGGCTGAACTACATGGACGGTCATGCTGACTCAACTCTGTATTAGTGGCAAAGGCCAGTTGTTATTGCCACATTAGCATATACAGTTATGATAAGCATTACCCCCCTTTATTAAACCATGCCCAAAACACTGATCATTGCTTAAACCACACCCAAAACACAGATCATTGCTTAAACCACACCCAAAACACAGATCATTGCTTAAACCACACCCAAAAGACTGATCATTGCTTAAACCACACCCAAAACACTGATCATTGCTTTGAGTAACACCTGCAGGAGCAAGCCACACCCTTTTTTGCTTAATTTGCAGCTTCATCAAATTGGTCTTTAGCTTGAGTATTTGAAGAATGGCGAAAGCTATTATACTCACCCAGACGCCGTGCTCAC